TTAACTGATGTATGAGGTGTCATTGATCGTGGCTGGTTGTGGGCTGTTTAGACGGCATATTACTCATTGCAATCTTAGATAGCCTACAACAAATTTCATAAGCATTGGAACACAGACGAAAACAATTGAAGAACTCCTATGCTCTCCCTCTTAAGCGGGGGGCATCAATGAGCATCAGTTTCATGCCTGAGGCATCCCACAGCTACAGAGTTCTGACGCATTTTAAATGATTGAAAGCTAGTGAGGAAGTCTTAATTATTTTTTAAAGGAAGGTTTCAGTTAGACGAAATATTCCTCGTTGCAAGAACAGAGGAAACGAATGCAGAATTATGTCGACAACAAATTTCACCAGAGGTGGAACACTGCCGAAAACATCTGAAGAACTGCTATGCTCCCCCTCTTTGGTGGGTGGGCTTCAACCAGCATCTTTCGCATCAGTCAACATTCTCCTCTCCATCACAACATTTCTTAGCAATTCTCTATCCTTGTTGCCCTTCACAAGGAATCTGCCCTCCATGCGCCGTCCAAACTCTTGATCGTTGTCTGATCTTTTGGTTGGTCTTATTGCTCAGCCTCTCTATGTTACCTTTTGGATGTCCGTGGTTCACGAACACTGGACTCTTTGTTATTACGCAGAGACAGCAGCCTACATCATAGGCTCAGCATTATGTGGAGTTTCTTTGTTGACGATGGCGGTAATAAGCGTGGACAGACTTCTCCGCGCCCTGTTGGCAGGGCTGAGATACAAAGAGATTGTAACTTTGAATAGTGTTTGTATCATTATAGCTAACTTTTGGGTTTTATGTCTTGTCGCCTCTTTATGCGCCATTTTCGATCGGCGTATAATCACTTTGTGTGCCCAGATATTGATACCACTTTTACTGCTTATTTCACTCGCCTCGTACACAAAGATATTTCGCACTCTTAGAAATCATCAGGCACAAGAACAAGATCATGTTCAACAACAGCCGAACCATCCAAGTGCACTGAACATGGCGCGATACAGAAAAGCAGTGTACAGTGCTCTGTGGGTACAGTCAGTATTAGTTGTTTGTTACACACCATACCTTATTGTGAGAATTGTTCTCACTTATAGTACAACATACTCATCACAATTAGGCGTCGTATTGGCAATGGACGTTATATTAGTTTTCTTTAACTCGACGTAAAGAAAACGTAAAGACAAGCAATGAAGCAAACAATCAGACAAGCACTTTGCTGTCCATGGAGCTAGACCATCTTACTCACAGCAGTCAAACACTGTGCATGCACGTGTTTTGGAAAGAATAGGAGGGATTTGCAAACGCGTGTATTACGTGAAGTGAAGAAGGAAAGGTTAAATTCCTATCTTTTCCAAATTGAATGCGTAATACAGTTGAAAGAGGGTTTTCGGAGAAAGCTTAAATCTTGGTCTTATTTAATGTTGAGATATATCAACTTATTTTTAACGCAGATGCCTTGTTTCGACGATGAAGGCAAATTACAGAACCTTTCTTCTACCTTTGTCAGCACGGCCAAGCTTACGACTTCATCACGCCGCCAAGCAAAGTGTAAAAAAAAGTACGAGAGTGAAAACTAGATCAACAATGTGTATAATTCTAGGCCTTTGCTTCTCAGCTATTTCCCCATCGATGAATAAAATAATGGTTTAAGAGTTAAAATAAATAATGTAGAGTCGAAAGAAAAGTAAATATGTTACGAAACGAATAATTTAGTATTTGATGAAATTTCGTACTCAAAACGAGGCCGAGGTTGTCATGGCTGGATGATGTCTCCTCAGCTTCCTGCGTGCTTCATATCTTAATTAACCCTTTAAATCCCATGAGTGACCAAGACAGAATTTCTCCTTACAATATTAATACAAAATCAACCAGATTAGTAGTGAAAATCAAGGAAAATGTTAATTTGGGGATAATTAGTTGATCCAATACTATATTCTCTGGACTAACATATGAGAATTGTATGACTGATGGTAAGGAGAAATACAAATTTGATCTGGGAGTTAAAGGGGTTAACACAAACTGTTTACTGGTTAAGATGCAGTCGCTGTTCGGTTGGTGCGACACAGAGAGGCTGTGTACCACTGGGGGCGCAGTTAGCGTTAGTTGTTTGTTGCGGACCAATCTATAGTAAAACATACCCGTCACACCTAGTCGTTATATGGAGAGTATCAATTGCCTTACTTTTCTTTAACTTGAAGTT